ATTCAATAAAACAACTGTCTTCTTGGCTTTATGCAACAGTGCATCTTGCGATTGCCTTAAAAGCAGAAGCAAAAATTTCTGATTTGATCTTGGTGATCAGATGTCAGTTCCAGAATGCAGATCAGACCAATAAATCAACTCCACATTAAAATTAAAGCTGTTTTTTAAATTAAGATTCACTGACTGTGCTTTACCTCTTATACTGCTGTGAATTAGGGAAGTGACATTTTTGTATGCCTGCTGCATGACTTAGGCTTATGCGGCATGGTTTTGCCTTGTTGATTTGGTAAAAGGATCTTGACTACTTATGGGAAAGGTCAGCAGCCCTTGTAGTCCCTATATACCCTACAGAGGACAAGAAGAAGGGGATATCTTTGATGATTTTTCTGGAATTGTTGGAACAAAAGGCCTGTCAGTTTATCAGAAAGGGAAGTGAGGTTCTATCTAGGATCTTTTAGAGCAGACTTGTCCAACCCGCGGCCCGCGGGCCGCATGCGGCCCAGGTCGGCTCGTAATGCGGCCCAGTGCCCACCCCAACCTTCGTGCAAGAGGACGAGCCAGTGAGGAGGAGGAGGAGAGGCAGGCGCGAGGCGGGGCGAGGCAAGCGCCACGCCAAGCAGCAACAGAAAAGGTGGGTGCTGTCAGAACGCTCCTCGTGCCAAGGCAGCCGCAGCCCAAGAGTCCCGCTCCGCCACCTCCTGCTGCTGCCGCTGCCACTGCTGCTGCCGGAGCTGTTGTAGTGGCTTCTGCCCCCACCGCCGCCGCTGCTGCCGCTGGAGCTGTTGAAGTGGCTTCTGCCCCCGCTGCCGCCGCTGCTGCTGCTGCTGCACCGAGCTTCCCGGTTCTCGCCTTCCAGTCCTGCTGCATCCAGCCGGGCCATTTGGAGGAGGAGAGGTAGGTGCGAGGCGGGTAAGCTTTCTTCCCACCCCCTCCCCCATGTTCCTTTCTCTCTGGTTGACTATTTTTTATGATATCTTATGAAAAAAATTTGGCCGGAAAATTTGGCCGTGATAAAAAATAATTTGGCAGAATTTGGCCGTATTTTGGCTTGAGTTTGGCCGCAGAGCCAAACTGCAATCTGGCAACCCTGCACCCCATCCATTATGTTAGCTCCGCCATCTTATATTAGCTCCGCCATCTTATATTAGCTCCACCATCTTGCGGCCTGTGCCACTTTCTGGTAGTCAGGAGACTAAGGCTGGGTTCACACAAAGGATTTTTGGATGATCAGGTATCGTTACTGTTATTTTATTTTATGTGCGGCCCAAACCAAATTTTCATCTTCTAATGTGGCCCAGGGAAGGTGAAAGGTTGGACAAGCCTGTTTTAGAGTTAACCTTCTGCTGAGGTTCTCAACTGTTTGCTGAGGTTAAAAGTCATGAAGCTACAGCAGCTAAAGGGAGGTACAAAATAGTAGCCTGAAGAAATAAGCCTAGATTTAGAATTAAGCAAGAGATATTCCTGTGCGCATGTGTAGTCCACAAATACACTTTCAGCACTGTATTACAATAAGCTCAGTAAGCTCTGTTACTGGTTGTCTTCAAAGTATCTTCATTTCAACAGTCCAATTCAGGAGAAAAGAAATATATGATTTTTCATTTGTAGAAGTTAGTTACAGGGAAGCTTTAGGTATACCACTGGTTTCAAACTGGCAGCCCCTGGGCCAGATATGCCACATGCAGGCTGCGCCCACCCCAGCTCCGCCCACCCCGGCAACATCAGGCCACGCCCACCCCAGCAAATCATGGTACATTATGTGACATGAGTTTGACACCCATGATATACATACATAACCTATTCCTCATGATTAATCTTTATTAAGGAACAACTACAGGTAGTCCTTGACTTACCGCAGTTCATTTAGTGACTATCCAGTTACAACAGCACTGAAAAAAGTGACTTATGACCATTTTTCAGAGTTATGACCATTGCAGCATCCCCATGATCACATGATCAAAATTCAGATGCTTGGCCACCATATTTATGACCATTGCTGTGTCCCAAGGTCATGTGATCACCTTTTGCAAACTTATGAAGAGCAGAGTCAATGGGGTAGCCAGATTCCTTTAAGAACTGGGTTAGTAACTTACTGTATCAAGTGCAATGATTCATTTAACCACTGTGGCAAGGTAGGCAATAAAGTGGGGCAAAACTCACTTAACAAATATCTCTCACTTAACATAAATTTTGGGCTCAATTGTGGTTGTAAGTCAAGAACTACCTGTATTAAAGGTTTGAGGAATTTTAAACACAGATGTTAAAGCATCCATGGTTGAAAAGCCTTTCCTGTTCATAGAATAGAAGATGAGAACTCAGAAGATTCTTGCTGGATAGGACAGAGGCGCAAGTAATCCTGTTTATAGCCCAGCCTAATGAGATACTAAAGATCAGTGGTCGCCAACCAGTGGGCCTGGGACCACTAGCGGTCCGTGAGAAAATTTTGGTGGTCTGCAGAGAAATGTCACCCCCAAAGCACTCCCCCACAAAGCAATTAATCCAGGCTGCGTGGGAACACAAGGCTGTGCCGCCCACATGGACCGCGGGAACACAAGGCTTGCGTCGTTTGCATTGTGAACAACACGAGGTAGCGAGGGGAGGGTGGAAAGGGCAGAGGGGAAGAACTTGCCCCACGTGCCCCACCTGGCCACTGGGCTGCTTCTTTCAGCTTCTTTCTTTTTCTGCTTTTAGCTATACGCAAGAAAAGCACCAAAGGTTTTTTTCTCTCTCCCCCAAACTTCACCAGAAATGAGACTTTGGGACCCTGCAAGGCATCCTGCTCCAAGAGGCTGAGCCATTCTGGTGTAGTTTGGGGGAGAAAGACTTCTGCTGCTTCTGCTGCTTTCCTTGCATGAAGCCAAAAGTCTCTCTTTTTCTCTCTCCCCCTGAGAATGGAGCTGGAGATGGTATCCTGCAATCCCAAATAAAGAATGATCAATCGGTAGGAAAACAGGGTGGGGAATTTTCCTGCAGACTTTTTTTGGGATTTTCCCAGGGTCTCTGGTCCGCGGAATTTAAAATTATGAGTTTGGTAGTCCCTGAGGCCCAAAAGGTTGGCGACCCCTGCTATAGATGGAAATGATATACATCTGCCAGGTTTAATAGCCTTACCAAGGGATACACTTCAGATTTGAACCTGAAAAGATGCTTTGGAGCAGGTGTAGCATGTGCTATACATCTGTCAGCATATCACTAAAGAGCTGCTTCCTCTTTGGCTCATAGTGTTATCCTGGGGAAAAATACATTTGAATTAAGGCATCAAAAGCATGTCCATTCCTGCTTTGAATTTCCTTATTGTACCCTGTTAATGCCTACTTTACTCAAACATGTATTTTGGGGGGATTGTGTAGCTAGTTCAGGCTTACATCAAGAGTTTCGTCCTGCTTTATTCTCCACTTCTATATCTGCAACCAGTCATCCAGGCTGTTTTGGATGTTCTTTTGAAACAGCACTTGACCCACTTCAAAAATAGTTCAACATAATACCATGTTTCTCACAAAATAAGACTGGGCCTTATTTTTTTTTTTGAGCCCCCCCAAAAAACGGCTAGGACATCTTTTGGGGGGTGAATTAATTTCTCCCCCCCCCCGCGCACCAGCGCCGTCTCCAACAACAGCGTCTGAGTCGCTCCCGCTTTTCCTCCAAAAATACCCCAAAATCTTTTTTTTCCCCGTCGTTACGGGGACAGGGGAAAAGCGGGAGCGACTCACACGCTGTTGTTGGAGACGGCGCTGGCGAGAGAGGTGTCAGCACCAGTGGGAACCATGGAAGCTACAGAGGCCTGAGAAGCAGCTGAAATGCTGCCGGACATCCACGCCGCTGCCGCCCACCTGCTGACCTGGGTAAGGGAGCCCTTCGTGCTCCACCATGGTACTAGGAGAGGCTGATGCTGAGGCGTAGCTGCCCGCGGGGCACTCCTAATGGCAAGTTCCCCCCCCCGCCTTCCCCCCCAATTTCGCATGTTTTAAACTAGGCCTAAAAAATTGGGGGGGAGGGGCTTAATTTCATTTTATGCCTAGAAAACATGCTGGGTCTTCCTATGGCGGGGGGTGTATTGTTGGAAAAACATGGTAGTCACAAGCCAAGCATAGGGCACGTTCATGCCTGAAACTTGTTTAGGTGGACAATTTGGTAGGCAGCTATACCTGCTATTCAAAATATCCAACTAGGCCCACCTGGCTTCATTCTACCGCAAACGATGATTGTTTTTCCCCAGTGGCAGGTGACACTTCATGAGAGGAGAAGCAATATCAAGGGAATGCACTTTCATTAAAAGGTTTTGGGTTTTTTGCCTTTAAACCAAAACAACAGCACCACAATATTCGTAGATATTGTACTCTCTAATTGCAAATGGAGAGGTGGGTACTCTATTTTTCTTAACTTCATTTTTAAGTGCTTTAATTTTATTGTATTGCGAACAGTTGCTGGGGTGCAACTGTACTTGTTGTACTTGTACAATGACAATAAAGTTGTTGTTGTTCTTCTTCTTCTCCTTCTCGTTATAACCTTCTTGAGAAAGAAGGTTGGGCCATCACCAGCAGCCTGCTTTTGGGATTGATGCATTGCACATCAACACTTACATAGTGAACAAAGCTGAACACCGTTTGCAATTTTTTTTCCGGATTGCAGGTTCTTTGGTGCAATTAAGTTTCTCTTGTCTGGTGTGAGCTTGCAGGGATAAGATCCCTAAATTTTGCAAAGGGGTCTCTTTCCCCCTCTTCTCCCGGCCACACCAGCACCTCTCTCCCTCTGAGAGGCCCGAGACTCGCATCCACCGCACAATATGTAATGCCGTCCAGTGACGTATGACGTACGTCAGAAGCCATAGAAGACCAGCGCCAAGCGCGCTCAAAGCTCCAACGCAACTCTGCCGCTTCCGCTTTCCCAGCAGCCTCTGGGTGAGCCGTTCGCCCCACCCTCCGTATTAGGCGAGGCTCGGGTCGCTATTCTCGCGAGAGTTGAAAAGACGGGTGTCCGTTGACTCCGCGGTGATTGGCAGGCGGCGCGGAGGTAGCTTCCTTCTCAGTACAGACCGCATACTAGTCAGCGGCCGCCATTGTCGGGTCGAAGAGCGGCTGTGGGGAGAGCCCGTAAAGGCGGCGAGCGGCGCTGGGGGAGGCGGCGGCCGACGCAAGCAGGTAATGTCTTGCGGTGGAGAGAGAAAGCGAAGCCGAAGAGGCTGGTTGGAGGGCCCGGGCTTCGCGGGGAGTTGCGGAAGGGAAGTGCCACGGTTTGGGGAGCTCAGGGAGTCTCCATTTTGTGGGCTTGAGAGACGAAGTTCTTGGCCCAGTTTCCTCCCTTTCCCCGTTTGCCTTGTACGGTTCGGGAAGAGAGCTCTGACTCGGCAAACGGGCCCCAGACCTGCACGTCTGCCCTGGGCGCGTCCGCGAAGAGACGAAGACGCCCTCCTCGATGGGGCTTCGTTGTGCAATCGAGTCCGGAAAAGAGAAACCTCCCGGGGTTTTCAGTGTTGGCTGGGTTTTGGGAGGAAACGCCGTTTCTTATCTAGCGATAGTCCAGTTTGAGAGAGGTCAAGGAGCCGCCTCCGTGCCTTAAATTAAAATCAGACCTCGGGTTTTCCTGGTCTGTCTCCAACATGAGGTCATTGGGATGTTTATTATAGAGTACTTAAGTCAGCTTGGTATTCAGGTTATGACACCCTTTACAAGTCTCCCCCACCCCACCCCAGCTTTTTAGGATTGCTTTTAAAAAAAATCTGATAAAAAGGAATGCCAATAACAGTTCGGTTTGCTGCTTCTCCCTTGCCTTAATTTGAATGTGGTATTCAAATAGATGGGTTGGTTTTTATGAGTATTTAGAACAGGCGGTGAAAATATATACATGTACATATGTGTGTGTGTGTGTGTATACATATGTATATGCACATATATATACATACACACACACACACACACACACACACATATATATATATATATATACACACACACACACACACACACACACACATATACATACCTACATACATACATACATACCTACATACATACATACATACATACATACATACATACCGTTTTGAGTGTATCCGACTTGTTAGAGGACTACTTGTTCATTTGTCTTCACTAACTGGGTATGATTTCCCTCCAGTGAAAAGTGTTGTATTTAGTTAGAGCCCTGTGACCATATCCAGTACTATATTAGTTACTGACCAGTAGAAAGCACTACAATGGCCATTTTGGTTTTTATTGGGTCTCTTCAAGGGGTAAGTATCCTCCATACTAGGTAGTTTTAATTTAATTCTTTAATGTCCATTATGGAGGATGCCTACATCTGGAAACTTTCAATAAGGGCAAAACCAGTTGTGTAATGCCTCCTACTGGTCACTAGCCAATTTAAGCCCCCTCTGTGAAAGGAAGCAATCTTGAGGTCTCTAGCATGAGGCCCAGACTGATAAGCATCATAACTAATTTGAGCACATAGAAAGAAAGGCATACTTGTGTAGCTTCTATAAATAAGAATTCTTTAGCTATGGTTTTTACAGTGAAAAGGCTATATAATAGACAGAGAACATGGAGGCTGGATGTTTATGCATTGAATAACAAATGTGCTAACTTGCTCCAAATTGGATTTGTCTAAAACCTGTGGTTGATAGGTTGCTCTTTCTATATCAGCAGGAGTTTGATACAGCTAAGTTTTGTGGATTGAATACGACAAAGATGCTTATGTGCCAACCCATTCTCCTCTGTCTTGCCTCATTTTAATTTTAATCTGTTAACCATTCCATGTAAAAGTGAGCTACAATTCATGAAAGTTTGTGTTTTAATAAAATTGTTAGTCTAAAAAATGCTACCAAGCTCTAATTTCCTGGAACAGTTAAGAAAATCGTACCTAATCACTTCTCTTCCTCTAATTGGGATGCTGTAAGCACAGTACCCGTCATGACCCCTCCTATTACTGAAATACACATGTTGAATGCATTTCCTTCTGTTTGATGCAGTTTTGCCATTTAAAACTAGTACTTAGAACAATGCAGTGAGACTTGTCTGGGTCATTTCAAAATGGCCTGGAGATACAATTTTTAAAATTCTGTGGCTAATCTTGAATCATATTTGGAATTTTCTGAACTATTTTATTTTTTTATGAAATAAGGCTGGTAAATGACTAGCTGCTAGGAAAATTTTGAGGCATGGTAAGGTAAATGTAAAGGTTCCCCTTGCACATACCTGCTAGTCATTTCCGGCTCTAGGGTCGGTGCTCATCTCTGTTTCAAAGCTGAAGAGCCAGCTCTGTCCGAAGATGTCTTCGTGGTCATGTGGCCAGCATGACTAAATGCGGAAGGTGCACAGAAAGCTGTTACCTTCCCACCAAAGTTGTCCCTATTTTTCTACTTGCATTTTTACATGCTTTCAAACTGCTAGGTTGGCAGAAGCTGGGACAAGTAATGGGAGCTCACTCCATTATGCAGCGCAAGGGTTCAAACTGCTGACATTTCTGATCGACAAGCTCAGTGTCTTAGCTACTGAGCCACTATGTCCCCTTCACGTCACCATGTCATGAGGCATGGTACATGACTACTATTTTACAGAGACTTTTTTAGGACTGCTTCTTTTGCATTGGGATGTACATTAATAGTGTAGAAATAAATGGGTTCTAAAATAGGAAATTGCTCAGATACTCTCATGGACCATTTTGCAAATAAGCCTACAATCCTTTCTACTTAGTATTGTCACAATTTTTTGAAATTGACATTGTACAGAAAGAAGCATTGTTTTAAGTTGCACCAATAAAAAGTTATAAGCAAACTTCTCCTTTCTGTTGCATACGATGACCTTTGTGAGCAGAAAGGAAGATTGGATTGTTTAGCTAGATACGTACTCTTGTTTATTGATAAGAGCTTAATTTCTCTTAATTTTGATTTTGTTGTGGCCTGGATAGTCAAAAGTGGAACAATAGGACACAACTTTGATTCTATTTGAATCCAGGCTATGAGAAGAGTAGGAACATTAATAACCTTCAAGGTAATTATGTTGGCTGTTTTAGGTCTAGTTTGATATTGGATTTGTTAGCTTACAGCTGTGCAGAAATGAAGCAATATACAGTAATGTTATTTCTCCTCTCAGTATAATTGGCTATTGTTGGATTTTTTAAAAAATTGCAATATGTCTTTGATAATGAAATCTGCTAAGATCCTAAGGGTGTAAGTTATAGATATTTAATATATAGGCATGCTTCCAGTATTGGTAAGAATGTATTTTTAGCTAACCATCCCACGATCCAAGTTGTATTTTTCAGTTTTTTTAATATTCCAAAATCAATCCATATGAATAATAATAGTTGAAAACCAGAGATTGACAGAACAGGCTCTCATGCAAAATAATATTGAATACTTGATTAAATACACAGATGAATTATATGCATTAAAATAAGATAAAGTTCTATTTGCCTACAAGACTTATGTTTACTTCTAGGCTGTATGTCCAAATGGTTGTTTCTAAACCAGCGTTTAATAAATTGCATATTATTTATATTCCACAGTCTGTTTTGGGAGGAATAATAATATGAATTTTAAATAAGGTATAATAATATCTATCAAACAAAATTTTTAGAAGTATGTTAATGCTGTATTACAATTTATTAGATTACATGATTGTGTAAAGATGCAATAAAAATTTATTGAAAAGTGATGTTTAATGGTGACTTGATTATAACGTCTAAATCATACATGTATGACATTTCTGTGCTTTTATCAACATATGCATTACTAACACCTAATGGACATTCAGAAATGTTTAGTCAATTGATGTACTGTCTTTAGATTTTATCTAAAGATTTGGGGTTGCTGATTTTACAGATTAGTGGTCTCTAGAAAGTGATACTGTATTTTAGGTGGAATTGATGACATCCAAAAGCAATGCAAAGGCCTTCCTAGCCACAGTTGCCACTTGCTTCTCAAGCAAGAGCTGTAAGTTCAGGAAGACTCCAGATTGTGCTCTCGGTCTGTCTGAGGCAGAGCCACCCCATCAGAACCAAAAACAAGTCCCCAGAATCAGATAGTCCAAAAAACTCAAAACCACTTGATCTTGTTACGTTGAATTGAAGTCTGTTATGTCCTATTCAGCTCCTATCACAGCATCTAGGCACTGCGATTGAACCTCCATGGCATCTCTCAGGTGACCTGGCACCCTAACTTGGCTAAGTATCATCAGCAATTTATAAAATTTATATTTTTGATGCTTGTATCTCATTTATAATATCTAAAATATCGATCAGAGGTTTTGTGTACAAATATAGAGGCAACATTAACCACTGGTTACTATCTGAATTTTAAACCTGTAGGTTTTCTTCCTATATTTTGCACATTTCATTATCTAACTAGGAAAGTTGAATATTTGTTTTTACATAGTGCACACAAAATGGAATCAAAGCCATCAAGAATTCCACGGAGGCTATCTGTTCAACCATCTGGTTCTCGAAGTGCTAGGATAGGAACTGGAAGTGGTGGAACAAGTTTAACTGATTCATACCATACAAGAGAGTCTTCATTAAGACTTGATTCTGGACGCCAGGTAACTTTTATGATGGTATATTTTCCATCTTACTCTTGTTGATGAGTTCAAATTGTCCAAAGTTTCATTGATAACTTGGTTACATAAAAGATGCTGAATTATTTAAATATTTTGTTAATTTTTTTTCTGTTTAAAATCATTCAAAACTTCATTGTTGAGATTGCTTTATGGTACTCCGTTTTCCTTCCCTCCTGACAATCTATTGCATTGCATTCCATTTTTGTTTTAATGTACACTGTACAGAATTATTAGGCAAGTTGTATTTTTGAGGATTAATTTTATTAATGAACAACTACAGTACTCTCCATCAATTCAAAATGTTAGTAGACCTCAAACCTGAATATTTAAGAGAATAAAAGTAAGTTTTTGGCTTTCTTAGGAGAATATATGTGTGCACAATTATTGGGCAGCTATTAGTGTGCAGAATTATGCAACTAAATGAAAAACAAAAAAATTCTCATCTCACTTGTTTATTTTCATCTATTGAAGTGAGAAAAATAATTCAAAATTTACAAATATTTCTGGCATTTCAAAAAACAACAACAGTGACCAATATAGCCACTCTTGACAGTAACAGCCTTCCATTCATCATAAGCCTTCCATTCATGGAGTCTGTCAGTTTCTTGAACTGTTGATGATCAATTTTTTGTGCAGCAGCAACCACAGTCTCCCAGACACTGTTCAGAGAGGTGTACTGTTTTCTTTCACTGTAAATCTCCCAGCAGGTTGCAGTTCTGGAATATGACAGCACTATAGGATAATGGGTTCTTATAGGTTCACATTTGATTCTTTTTGAATCTTTGGCAGTTAATGTGCATCTTTTTTTCTCAACTTTTCTTATGACCCTGTTGACCATTTGCAAAAAAATATTTGATGGTTCTGTGATCATGTCCCAATATCTTATCAATTTCAAGAGTGCTGCATCCTTCTGAAAGACTTCTTACAATTTTTGACGTTTCAGAGTCAGTTAAATCTCTTCTTTGGCCCATTTTGCCTGAGGGAAAAAAGCTACCTAATAATTATGCACACCTTGATATAGAGTGTTGATCTTCTTAGGTCACACCCTCCCTCATTACACAAATACACATCACCTAATGTACTTATATCCACTAAGCATTCAAGTTTACGCAGCTTGGAGGTGGAAAATATGCATGTAAATGATGATATGGTCAAAATACTTGCCTAATAATTGTGCGCACAGTGTATTTACATAGAGATTTGCAGTTTTAAGAATCCTGAATGATTTTTTACAAGGAAAAAAAGCATTCTTCACTAAAATCAAGAGCAGTTTAAGGTCTCATTAAAAATATTTAGGTTGTACTCTGAACTTTAGAACTAGAGGTAGTTCTTGGATTATTGTTCAAAATTATGATAATGCTGAAAGGGGGAGATTTAATGACTGGCCCTTGAAGTTCCAGTCATTGCAGTGTCCCCACAGTCACATGACCATGATTTTGGTGCTTCGCATCTGGTTCTCTAAATTTATGATGGTTGCAATATCATGTGATTGCCATTTGCGACCTTTCCTTCTGGCTTCCCACTACATCAGTTGGGAAGCCGACAGGAGATCAAAAGTTGCTCCTGCAAGTCACTCCTGCCACTTTTTTGCCCATTCACCTGCTCATGGTCTCTGCAGCGTCCGCTCACCTGTAGCACTTACCCACCTTTACTCCAAAGCACATGCCTGCAGTCCTTAAGTTATGATGGCAACCAAGACTGCTGAGATTGTTGTCACTAAGTGATTTGGTCATTGTGGCATTGGTACTTTAGCCGCATCACTTAGCAATGGAAATTCCAATCCCAATTGCTGCTCTAATCTGAGGGCTCTATTTTCTTGGGATGTACTTTCTATCTGACTTCCCACAACTTGTCACTGACTTGGACTCCTTTACTGTATTTTTTAAATTAGAAAACATATTAATTGCATTATTTTTATATGTTAGAACTGTGGCTGTTACAGGCATAGCATAGCTAGAACAGTAGTGAACTAGTGAATAAAGATTCTGCTAAAAGTACTTGATAAAGTTGCATTTTAAAGAAAACTGATCACAGGTATTAGGCACCCGATATGTAGGTATTGCATAAGTGGAATTTGTTATAGTGCTATGTGAAACTTTCCCTAGAGTTCTTGTAAGTTTTCCTCTAGGTGTTCTGAAAAGAAAGAAAAGAAATGTAGACCCATCTTTAAGTTATTTAATGTTCCTAAGCAGGTTAATATACAAAGTAGCATAAAGTCATTGTGTAAAATCAGAACAATATAAATAACAAAAATAATAAAACATAATAGCTATAATAACAGAATGACTTGAAAAAATCTAAAGTTATAAAGTATATGGGGAAATAAAAAAATAGAATAGAAATTAATATACTGTATATCTAAGATTATGAGTTTGAGGAGACCATGTCAAATTCCCATACATTTAGATGATATACCTTAGATGATTTGGGATTGGTTTCTTATCTCAGCCCAACCTACTTCAGAAAATGGTAGCAATAAAGAGAATTAGACTCTTTATGTTGCCTTGAATGCCTAGCGGAAAGGAAGGTTATATAATGAAATAATACAGATATAAAAAGTTGTTGTTAGTTGCGAAGTAACTATAGATAGTTATTGTTATGTCCTAAGGATGGTCACCTAGGCAAGTCACACAAACAGTGGCTTTTCAAGCAAAAGTTTTCTAACGTGACTGAAAATGATAGGTGTTGAACATGGGAATTCTGCATATATTCTGCCACTTATCTGTAGCGGTTACCACAAGTTCATCCTATATAGCATATGTGCTGCTTTATCCCTGGAAAAAGAATCCAGAATTTTCTGGTCCAGAATTGATTGATTATCAACTAATAAGAAATTATTTCTATTTTATGAATATATACAATTCTTTTTTTCTTTTTTAATTCTACTTTTGTCTGTTTAGTACTTTATTTTCTTAAAACTAGTTAAATGTTAAATAAGTAGGCATGATTTGGTTTTAGCTAAAGTATATGAATAATTATTTGTGTGGTATGAGTTAATTTGCATGTTAAGAGGTTAGCAAAATTTAGTGCCTAAAAATAGAAAAAGTTCATGACTCTTCAAATTTAGTATTTCTCTGTAAGAAATTTAAAATGAGTTATTTACCAAGTATTTGTAGCTTTTTTCAGCTCCCCCCCCAGTATAAGTAATTGTATAAAACAGTAATTTACAACTATTGTTTTAAAGTGACTTGCATAAAGTGACTTGCAAATGTTGCCAATATAGCAGAAGCTCAGTAGTTCTCTTCAGTGAGAGGAGAATAGTAATGTTTGGTCCTGCTTAGAAAATAACTTAATGGAAGCTGAATTTCTAACAAAGTAAACCTTGCAGTTATGACTTACATAGGATGAGGTAAACTTATTTTTGTAGATGGGATAGGAACAGTTGACTTCTAGAAAATGTTTAAATGTGATTAATTAAAAAGTGAAGATGTTATAGATTTTATTTTCTTGTGTGGAATGATACCCAAGCAAGGCATTAAGTGATAAACATATTGTTTCGTAGGAATCTAGCAGGTTGCATAGTTCTAGTAGAGACTGGTCAGTTGAAGAACGAGAAGCATATGACAGTTCATGGAAGCTTCCAGCTTCTTCTCCAACTCACTACTCAGGGACACTTGATCGTCCGTGGTCTGGAAGATTTTTGGGAAGCAGAAATAGATTGGTAAGAGTTGCATTGTTAATCTATTGAAGATCAAAAATTGTGTGTGTGTGTGTGTGTGTGTAAAAAGAGACAGACATCCCAATCTCTGGAACTAAAAATGCGTGTTGTTCACTAAGCTTTTGTTAGCCTCTGCTAACATCATCAGAGTGTAAAACTACCATTGAGGAGATAGGTGCCTTTATATAACATTAACCAATGGCCGTTGTGCGCATGACTTTGACAGCATTCTCTAGTTCCCTTCCTCATCTTAACGGACTTCCGCCTTAAAGGCCCTTTTGTTTTGTCCACTAGATTCATTTGTTGCTTTGCTAGTGATGGGAAGCAGTCTCTGCTCTTCTGGAAGAATCTTTCTTGGTGCCTCAGTGCTTGGTAGGCCGGTAGCTGTTCAATATGTCTATTGATGGAGTTGTTGTTGGAAAATCAGGCTTCTTTCACTAAGCATCCTCCTTTGGTTGCATCACGGGCAAGAGTTTTGACCTCTTGAAAATTAAATATGTGATTGTGTTCCTTCATATGTGTCCAGATCTGGGAGCACTGCTTTTTGTGCTGGACAGCCAATTTATGTTCCTGTACTCTGGTCTGTAACTGCTTGGCCGTTTCCCCTACATAGTTGCTTGCACAGTTACTACAGTTGATAGGTAAACCACCGAAGATGCCTGTTCTTTGGATAATGTTTCTTTTGGGTGCATCACTCTCATTCTCAATGTTTGATCCGGTTTGTTCGTCACCTTGACCTCTTGTGTCAAGAGAATGCATGCAGAAGTTTCAGGTACCTCCCTTATATATGGGAGCACCCTCCATTCAAATGTTCCACTAGCACCTTCAATAGGTTGTCAGGCTCTTCAGATAAAGTCCATAGAATAACCATTGAGCTTACAAACTTGATAGATGTATGCCCGCTCTTTGGCTTTGGCTGTCAGTGTGCTACAATGGGTATCTCTTCTATAGAACAGTACCCAAATACAACTGACTTTGTGTGTGGTGGGGTGATTACTCTCATTGTGCAAAATACAGTCCGTGCTCGTGATTTTTTGATGTACACCTGTGTCAAGGCTCCCATCCAGGCTACGGCTGACTAGTACATCCAGGAAGATCAACTTTAGACCAGTGTTATTGGCCTCTTCTTCCACCATTAATTGAATGTCTGGGTATATGGAATTGAGGATTTTCATAAATCTGGCCTTATCTTGCTGTTTAATTATGACAAACATGTCATCGATGTAACGTGCCCAAAACTTGGGCTTGTATATTTTCATTGCCTCATATTCTAATTTCTGGAGGACTGCCTCAGTGATCGCTCCCGAGATTGGAGACCCATACGTGTACCTTTTATCTGTTCATATTTATGGCAGTTAAATGTAAAATAGGTTCTAAGGCAGAAATTCAACAGGAGGAGGAGATCGTTTATGCTTGGGAATTTGGGGTTTCATGATTCCTTCTCCAATAATAGTTCTTATATAGTTAGGGTCACTAACTCCTGGGGGATGGATGTAAACAGTAATACCACAACAGATGACACCATTGTTTCATCCTCCCCAATCTCCATTCTCTCTAACTGTTGTAGAAAGTCGGTAGAAGATTTCATGCTAGTGGCACCTTCGATTGAATGTTGTAGCTGTCCATATAACCATTTGGCTAAACCAAATGTGGGAGTGCCACAAAAGGAGACAATGGGGCTCAGGGGTACCTCTATCTTGTGGATCTTTGGTAATCCATAGAATTGTGCCATGGCTGAGTCTTTTGGTCGAATCATTTTTAGATTCTCTTCATCCACTTTTCCGTCTTGAGTTTATCGGCTACCTTATTAATTTGGTTCTTGAAAGATATCATGGGATCCTTATCCAAGAGTCGATAGGCACTCTTGTCATTGAGGAGGTCATAGACCTTCTTATTATAATCTATTCTGTCCATGTCTACTGTTGCCCTGGCCTTATCAGCTGGCAGTATAACAATGGAATTGTTCGATACAGCGGCCATTTGTTAATGTTATATAAAAGCACATACCTCCTTAATGTTAGTTTTACACTCAACAATGTTAGCAGCCATCATCAGGCTTCTGTATTGTGTATACAGAATATACACAATACAGAAGCCTGATGGCAATGGGATTCTGCCGAAACATTGCTACAACTTTAAAAGCACAACTACAATGACGTGGGAAAATACCTGAGCAAAGCTGAATACCAGATAGATAGATAGATAGATAGATAGATAGATAGATAGATAGATAGATAGATAGATAGATAGATAATATGTGTGTGTGTGTGTGAATTTTAAAAAAATAGTTTATTGAAACAAAATACAAAACAAAATATTTAAAACAACAACAACAAAAGACATTAACAAAAAAGTGTCTTAAAAAGAAACAACACATACACACATAGCACCTTATCCAATTGAATACTGATTGGTATAATAGAACAATGTTGGTTTCCCACTCCTTGCAAAACACCCCTTGCAAGAATTTTAAACTGTTAAAACTTTTAAACCTACTTACAAATTGTTAGGCTGTCATTGGTAAACTATATTAATAAAGTATTTAACAGAAAATAATAATAATAGACATGTAAAAATATAAAAGTAATAAAAATTGTGAATAGTAATAGGAGGAAGATAAAGTTGAAGTTCCAAGCCCTCTTTTAACAAGCTGTTATTGTATTCACTCGTAGAAAATTTACCACAACACCAATCATCCCAGATAGTAATTGGTCCTAGATTAAATATCCAAGTTTGTTTCTTTATACAATTTCTTATCAATTGCTGATAGATTGAATACAATAAGTCCAATCTCCAATCTATCTTCCCCCCAAATTCCAGATAAAATCGTTCCTCAATTACATGTATTAAATCCGTTTTCCATTCTTCATCAAATTCCTTAAAGAAAAAACATTTGCCACTTGTCCACCCAGAGAGTTTTCTGCTATTATAAAAAAGAACACTGTTAAGCTTCCAGAAAGTGTATAGAGTTGGTTCTGTAATTTCTGCTTCATAGCCAGGATTTATAATTTCTAAGTCTGTATTTCTTCTTGAACATTTTACATCTGGGAAATCACATTTTTTCTTCTCTATGTTCTCCACTGTCAGTTATTTCCATATATTCCATATTTCTTCCCAATGTTGCTTTAAAAACAAATTCTTCTTGTAGGCTTTAAAAATGTAACTTTTAAAAAATGTTTTGTGCAAAATTTATAAGTTTATCAAACCATTTTGGAAAAAAAAATCAACTAAGGAGATTGCATCTTGTTAGTCAGAGTCTACTTTCCCCCTTGGGTGTCAGCCTCCTCCTCTCTGTAATCTGATCTATTGTTAGCTCAAAGCAGCAGGGAGGGAATAGCGAGGCAATGAAAGAGAGAGGGAACATATTTTCCGGGCATTTAATCCAAAATGTGGAACCAGCTTCCCTCATTGACTGCTTGTTGGAGTGCCTCTTTCCCCCAAAAGTTAAGGTCACAAATGGCAATCTTAGGACATGGTAATCATTGTATGCTGGTTGGCAAGTGCCCAATTTTGACAATGTGACTGCAGGGGCATTGCAAAAATTGTAAGTGCAAGAAATGGCCATTAGTCACTTTTTTCGGTGCTATTGTAACTTCAAACTGTGGTTAAAAAGAATGGTCATAGATCCAGGACTACCTGTACTTTCTAATACCTTATTTGGCAGAAATTAATAGTTTCCAAATATTTTCTGTAGCCAACTACAAGTTTTTTTGTTCTTGCTTTTGGAATTTTTTCCACAGTGCTCCTTATGGAACTTGTTTAGCTCAGAAATGTTCTTCAGTGTCCCAGTGTCCTTCCATGTACTGCATTTTTTAGGTTTCTTCCACAGATTTCAATAATGATAACATCTTAGGATTGTGCAGGCCATTTTAACCTTTCCTGTAAGTATTTTATGGATGATTAGAGATAAACCTTGTTCCTACATCTTTTCAGCATCAGTTTTTCATTGATTGTGGAAATTAGCTTTTAGGATATATTGATATTTCATTGAATCTGTCCCAACATTGCCTATGTATTGCTGCATGCACACACGTATACCATTTAATAGTTGGAATGGTATTCTTTTATGCTTCATACTTTTTCCCACAAATGTATTTTGACTAGTTGGTACTGAATAGTTCAGTTTTTGGTGCATCTGTCTCAGTATTTTATTTCACAGTGTTACGGTCTGATCAAGTTTTTCTTTACAGAATTATTACTGTATAAGTAATGCTATAATGATCTAATCTTTTTAGCAGCTCATTTGCAGTGGCCTGTGAGTTCTGTTTTGCACATCTGCCAAGTTTGGGATTCCAGCAGATATTCTTTTTGGTCTTTCAAATCTTGCCTTGACTTTAAATAGTTTCCATATAACTTCTATTTCTTAACAGTATTTCTAATAGTTTAAATAGCTATCTAGTAGCAATTTAGAAAGGTTTTTTTTTAATAATTTCCCCTTGCTGGGAAGAGGACAAACTCAGTGTATTTTGGGGCCTTTCAATTGATCTATCAAGACCTAGGAAGCATGCATTATCTGCATCATGCCTACTTATTGGCACATTATTCCCCAGAGATGGGACTTTCATCTTAATGATCTTTCAGAAATCTTTGAAAAGCTAACAGTTCCATTAGGCCCTTAAGTACTGTAAGATATTTATGGAATATTTGTTGGTTATATTTTCTGTGTATTAGTTCTCTCTTACTGTTGTTTTTTTTATTTTCCATATAGACTGTGCAGAGTTGCATTGGAGTCTTGATAGTCTCTGAATTTTGTAAATTAAAGAAAATGTAAATACATTATTTTTAATTTTAGTTTTTTAGACGTCCAGACAGCTACTGATATAGATATACATTCTGTCACAGAGTAGGAATGCAAGTCATGAATAACGTTACTATTTTCAACTTAGAATTTTCTTTTGAAGTAATTGCCAGGTACTTCCAAATCATAATAATTTATATGCAATTGAATACTGTTTCAGTTTAAAAAAATTAATAAATTTGTTCTTCAGTTGAATCTGTGCTTATTTTTTAATCATATAGTAAAATTATGAAAAATAAACAGTGCTAAACTCTGTAATTTACTTTACTACTGCTTGTAAAAATAAAAAGATATGTAGTAAACTTAAAATCATAGATTGAAAGTACTCATGGCAAAATATCCTAAATCAATAATTTTAAAGCCCAGAAAAGTAAATGCACCACTAAAACTCCTCCTCTTTATTGGATTAAATTATTGTCACCGGTATTGGTACCTTGATTTAATCCCATGCGTTATTTTAACGGAGTTGGAGTAGGGCAGTATGTGGACAAAGATTTTGGGATAAGCCTATGTAGGTTACATTCTTCTCTCTGAATACATTTCTGTAAGATAGTGGGAATTATTTCTGAGTTAGATGAGATATGACTAGGATTATTGCACTGTTAGAATTTTGAAGGTCAAGATAGATTTGGCCTGAAATAAAATTGGCAGCCAGTTCAGATTTTAAAAAGACCTGGTATTGATAGTTTTCATACACAGCTCCAACTGAGAAATGTGCTATACCAGTGGTGGCTAACCTTTTTCTGCTCCTGTGCCGATAATTGCACGCTCACGTGCCAGTACCCAGAAGGCAATGTGCAGTGTCCCCTGCACATACACGTGCGCCCCCCCCTTGCGCGTCTTTGTGCCTATGCGTGAAATTCCCCACTTGCGCCGCACGTCTTTGCACATGCACGTGTGATCCTCTCACATGTAGTGCATCCCTGCTCATGCACGAGTGTCTCCCACGCACTCTACCCCCTGCATGTGCATGCCAGATACCTGACAATCAGCTGTCGGGCAGCGGCAGTGTGCATGTGCAGTGGGGTTCTTCCAGGTGACCTCTCGCGTGCTGGGGGAAATGGCTCTGCATACCTCTTCCGGCACATGTGGCATAGGTTCACAAACACAGTGCTATACAATCTGTTTTAATTGAGGTGTCTCAACTGTTTTCAAGACTGTCCTAAAGTGCAACTAGTTAAATTGAGAAGCTGCCTGTGGAAGATAAAGTTCTTGTGTTAACATGAAAATAGATAGTGGAAGATTGATAACAACTATAAAGGATTGTACATATTTAAATGAGTTCTGCATTAAATCTGTTTGAGTAAAAAAGGAGCTTGCAAATATTCATATGAAAACAAACATTGGTTTACATTTAGGTTTTCCAAATGCTAAGAAAATATCATGATTAGTTTATAATGCTGAATTACTTTGACATAACTGTTCCAAAAGGAACAATTTTTACCTTGTTTCCAGGACTAGAATGCATTTGTGTATAATCTCTAGTGTAATGCAATTTGTTCTCCTTAAGAGGAAATAATACTTTATTGTAATGTTTGAATAATAGCCTCTTAGACTATTCTTTTAAAATTATTCTCATTTATTTACTGGTTCTCTTGGTTGTTTTATCCAAGTCTTTTCAGCATAATAGTTTTGGTTCAATCTTCTTGTTTACTATTACAGTACAAGTCATTTAGCAGTCAATTAATAACCTTCTTAAATCTCAATTTATAGGTTACATCATCATCATCACTTTCTGCATCATCTTGGTTGGGTGAATCTGAAAGATCTCAGGGAGCATATTCTTCAAGACTGCATAACCAACAACAAGACATTGATTCAAAAAGACCTAAACTTTCTTATACATCTACCTCTAGTATGAGAAGTAGTGGTTTAAGCACAGTTTCAGGTAAGTTACATGTTAAATTGTAAACATTGTGTATTAATAAGACTTATTACTACTCCAAACTGCCACTCCATTCTCCAAAGGGAATGTAAGTACAAGATGTAAAAAACAAAAACGGCACATTCAGTCAAAATTAAAACACCATTCCACATCAGAGTAATAATGGCATTTTTGTTACTTGTGGCCTCGTTGATTTTCTAAAAACCATGAGGTATAGGCCCTTTCTTCGAGTGTGCTGAGGAGAATCCAAGGAATGGGTTACCTCTGCCTTCCTGCTCAATTAGACCAGACATGATATTCTTCCGATTAAAATCAGAATTCCAATTTTGGGGGAATCGCCCCCACCCTTTCCCCCCACCCTTTCTTCTCCTTCCCCTTGGAGGCCCCCTGAGTCAGTTGCTACCGCCTGCGCGGCTCCAGTCCCACGTTGCCTCGGGAAGGGAAAGGCAAAAAGGAAGAGCTGTGGTGGCACTTTGCAATGGCAGCAGTGGCACTAGAGGCTCAGGCGCAGCGCCTCCCGGGTTTATTCTTCCTCCTGGCACCTTTCGGTCCATGGATACTTAAAGAGAACCGCGACCCCTTGAACGGACAGCCGCAGAGGCGCGCAGAGCCCCAGCCGGACACCTGAGCAGAGTCCTGGCGGTGCGAGCGGAGGCCACTGAGCGGCAAGAAAAGGGAGCTAGGCAGCCACAGACCAGCCGTCTCTCCATCTGACGGCCTTGGCCAAATCTCTGCCTTCCAGCCCGCTTGGTCCTCCGCCTGCAGGCTTCCCCAGCCCCTTGCCAAGTGGGTTTTCCGCCCCAGCCCAGCAGGGCCCTCGCTGCCTTCCCCTCACCTGGCCGGCCAGGCTCCTTGGGCAACCCAGCTGCCTCGTGCCGAGAAGTGTGCTGCCAGGCGGGGGCCACATGGCGCAGGGCAACATGCCACCGCCCCGCCCTGGCGAGGGAAAGCAGCGGGTGCTTCCCGGGTGGCAGCCTCGGCCCTGCCACCAGGGAAGCGGCTGCCCAGCCCCGGAGCTGATCCACACCTGTCTGGCTGGAAAGGAAGGGTGTGTAGCGTTGGTGTTGTGTGTGTGATTTCTTGGCACACGGCGCGGGGGTCTCTTTTGGCTGGCCCTGATTTTTTTTCAGAGGGGAATATCATGCCTGATTAGACTGAGTCAATCAAATCTTTTTAGTCCTGCCTCTCACGTCTACTTCCCTAGTTTTCAACTCAGTCTTTAGCTCGAAAGACGCTTTTTCCTCAACTCTGATACATTTCTAGCAGGAGGAGGTCAGCACAGTGGGAACAAAATGAAGGCAGGCTCCCCGGTCTGACCATCAAAGCTGCCCTTATCTGGCTCATTCTATTAAAGCCTTCATAGGACTCTTCCGTTCTGCCTTGTTTAAGACACTTCTCTACAAAAGCCAAGACCACAGCTCGGATAGGAGCAGACCCAGTCATGTCAGATCTGGCCTTGGGCTCATCTGAGCACAATAATTTATTGTTGTCAGAGCATACCACAGATAACAAGGAGATTCCCTCCCCGAAATTATTCCTGGATGTAGTCGGACAATGAGTCCTACCAGAGGTGTACCCATGCTCAAGAGTGACCCATGGCGACCTTAGCCTTCTCCACCATTATGTCCAATGACATGAAGGATGCCTCAAAAACAGAAGGCAGGAAAGCAGAACTGACACTCTGCAAAGCCCATCAAGTGACTGCCTGGGTGGTTAAGTCGGCTACAGCTGCTTGCTTCTTCAATAGAACTTCCTTGCTCTGGCTCAAATAGATGCAAGCAAGAATCCCAGCCACCAACCTCAGCACTCCTCAAGACATCAACAAGCTGGCTGCAGAGGCAGAATTCTCTGCAGATGCCACACTGAACTCAGTTAAGTTGCTTTCAGAGCCATCTCCTCATCCTTGACAGCCTGACGACTGCTATGGCTCCGTTACTGGCAGGCAGACATGAAATCCAAGTAGAAGTTGGCTTCTGCTCCCTTCAAAAGGGACAAGCTATTCAGAGAGGCCTTGGAGCCTATACTCCTAGAGACAAAGACAAAAGGAAAGTCCTACCCTCTATGTCCAGATCCACTGACCGTCGATCCTTGCCCTACTTTCGGCAGCCTTCTTTTAGAGCAGCGAACACTGCACATGACTTTTCACATCCACAGAGGGCATATTTCCAGCGCCAGGATCGCCAATCCGATAGGTCCGCCTATAGAGACAGGAGCAGACAGTTCCAATCCAAACAGCCATTTCGATGCAATGGTAGTTGCCCTTCCATCGTTCCTCCAGATAACTGCAGATCCAACCCTCCCATTGGTGGCTGTCTACATCTCTTTGTGGCTCAATGGGGGGAAATGACCACAGATGCATAGGTCCTAAACACTGTCCGACTAGGCCTTGCTCTCAACTTTCTCCTCAGAGCTGCTCAGAGCATCCAGTAGTGGGAGGTGCTTCAGTCTCTGCATTCATAGGCTGAGCTTGAATTGAGGAATGCTCCTCCTCCACCACGTGACTCCTCCATAGTGTTCCCCAGTTTTTGCTCAGCCTTGTGCGAGACAGGCTGTTCTGTTCTCGGCTCCTTGGCTGAAGCAGGAATTTTTTGAATTCTCTCAGCTCTCTCAATCAGCCTAGATCAGCTTGCTTTCAGGTTGGATTTATCCTCTCCTCTTAGCCCTGCGCAACTGTTTAACTAGGACCCCTATCCCCCCAAGGGAAGCACTTTTGCGCCCCCAGAGGGAGGCAAAAGGGAGGGCCACAGGTGCCTTCGCACCACCTCCCAGAGCCTAAATTTCCTTCCCTGCCTCTTCTGTGCCGTTTTTATTGCGGTTTGAATTCCTTTTGTTTTTGAGTCGTTTCATTAACACCCCCCCGCACCGAATGCCGCTCCAGTGGGGAAGGCCTGATCTTTCCCTTCCCTGCCCCTCTCATCCTTAAAGCTTCGGATTGCCCGTTGGGAGGGAAATTCGCCGCTGAGAGACCCGAGGATCATTCGCTCTTTTGGCAGCCGCCACTTTGAGAGCCTCCTTGTGGCCGGACGCCATTTTGTTTGCTCACTATTTTCACTGTGAGTGTAATCTGCTCGAGGATTCAGGACCCGTAGGCCCGTTTCAGAGCAATTCAAACCCAATTAGCCTCCTAGCACTGGGTTTGATTCCTTTTGTTGAAATTTGTTGGCATTATCCCACAGCTTCTCAGCGGCGCAGTAGCAGACAGCAGCAACCACCCAGTTCCGCCTGGGCTGAAGGCTGCTAAGGCTCTTGCCTCTCCTTTTATCTCCGTTCTGTTGGAGAGCGATATTACTCCGGGCCATAGGTGTTCAAATTCAGCTGATTTGGACTATTGGTTTTTTTTCTTTATTGGCACCAACCCTCTGTTATTATTACTATGTTATCACCCTTCTGAACAATTTTTAGGGTGCTACAACTCAATCTCTCATGCATATATATTTATATATGTTTATATATAATTAATTAAAATAATAATTTTGAAAAAAACAAACAAACAGGGGGATGTGAAATAATTACAGGGCACCCGGTCTTCCCGCAGATCGGCCCCTGGGCGTGCCAACCGCCTGAATCTTAATTCCTTATATATCATACAGTATTCATATTACTCATTGAAATGGCAGAGGGTAGCGCTTCCAGAGGACCTTCTTTGAAGGCAAAATCCAAAACCTATCACTTGCGCAGACAGGCGAAGGAGACCTCCAAAGCCTCCGAGAGAGATGCCTTGAGACGCCACAAGGCCCTGGAAAGGGAGATTGATAGACGCACCAAAGAGGCCCGTACAGTGCCTCCGGTCTTCCCGCCTTCTACTCCCTCTACTTCTGCTCACCCCCCCCCTTTAGATTTTCCCTCCTTATCCAGGTGCAGCTCGCCCTTGCAAGAACAACAGGCTCTGATCCCTGGAACACCGGCCAGAAGGGTCCCTGAAGCCACCTTCACCCCTACAGCAGCCAGCCTCCGTCAAGAGGACTCACTCATAGACGAGGTTCCAGAGCGAGTAAGATCCTAGATGGAGCTGGCTATCCGCCAAGGGATCGCGGACAGACTCCAGCAAATAGCCAGGCCTGGTCACTAGCCGACGGTTTCTGAACTCGAGACTCAGTCTGTAAGATCCTTGCCCAGAGCGGAACAACTCCATGGCCAGGTACCCTTGCAGAGGGGCATTCCCCTTACAGAAAGGGAGGAGGAAGAGGAGGAAGGGGAACTGGACCTAATCAGGGAAGATGAAGAGTTTGAGTTGGGGTCCATGCTGTATAGCAAACCCCTATCAGAGGTGGACCCTCTGGAAGGGGAGATGTCGGAGGACGAGGGGCTTACTCCTAACCAGCCCGCCTTCGTGGGCCTGTTCAAGCCACACTTATTTAAGTCCCTACTATTCAAGGCCAAGAATATCTCGGGCCTAATCACGCAGTCACCCTCTGACCCCCCTCCTACAACTTCGGAGGGCCCAGATGACTCCATCTTTAAACAGCCCATGGTGGAGGCCTACCCCACCCATTTCCTCCGACCTGGTGTTAAAACAGCTGGCCTCTGCAGCTGCACCTCCAGCCCTGTCTGGCCACAATAAAAAGTTTTTCAATTTGGACCCAGAATTCTCTAAATTACTGGTTACCCCTGAGGTTGTTGAGCCCATCGTGGGCCTAGCCACCTCCTCTACCCCGAGTGACGCTCTGGAGGCCCTGAAACCAGAGGACAAGCGGGGCGAGCTGGCCTTGCACCGGGCACACCAATCTGATGCCTGGGCAATCAGATCGGCTATGGCTGCTTCCTTTTTCACTAGGTCATCGATTCGATGGCTCCGTCAGCTCAAACAACACGTCCCCTCCTCCAGTGTCAGGGCACATCAGGACATCGCTAAGCTCACGGCCATGGCAGAATTCTCTGCCAATGCCACATTTCACTCCGTTAAATTCTCCACAAGAGCAATCACATCACACGTCACGGCCCGCTGTCTGCTCTGGCTGAGACATTGGCAAGCAGACATTAAAAACAAAGTAAAATTGGCTTCC